ATGTAATGTATAAGGATCTCCAAAAAGTAGAAGCAGTATTCTTTCTATAATGACACCTTGATGGTATGTCCCTCCTGTCACGCATCACTGAACACCATTGTCTTGGAAATGGGGCATCCGAACTCAGTTGTAACACTTTGGATAAACCAGTGAATGAGGTTGAAAACTGCTTCTACTTTTCGGAGAAAGGCCGTGTATACATTATAATCATATCTCATGGTTTGGGCATTTTATTAACACTTTTCCTCAGGTTTTTTTTTTTTCTGGGACACCATGTATAAAGGACATCGTTGCTAATGCTGTAAACAGTGCCAATCACCACGTGAAAGCCACTGAGCAAAATGAAAAGCTGTCAGGTAACCAAAGCTGTATGTGCAACCTGTTGAGCCACTGAACGGGCTTAGGCTCCTCCTGCTTCCCAGTCAAGGTTGCCAACTCTTATCGAATTGTCTTGGCTGTACTGGGTAATGGGTAGTGACGTTAACTCTTCACTTCATCATCCTCGCGACACAAAATATGGAGAAAATGGAACTTCTTAACACATTCATACCGCCAAATTTAAATCATTCAGAACTTCGGTGGTAAATTAAAATGAGCTGAAAGTTCAAGACCCGCCTCACTGAAAACTGGGGCCTCTACCTGACTTTTTTCAATTCCAATTCCAGGTTTTATATCACATTTGTATAAGGGATTAAAATTAAAAACTAACTAACTTTTCTGAAGCCACCAATATTTTCTCCAACTTTTTAAAAAATGTGACCCACTCTGTGAAAATGATTCATAAGTCGCCAGAGCCACTTTTTGAGTTTTCATTTGTATTAGAAAGAGCAATTTGAGCGTTTTGTTTTTCGACGTATCACTCGGTTTGGCACCTGGTGAAAGTGGATACTCCATGGTGAAAAATGCTGTGGGTTCCTATTGGTTAACACTGTGCAAAATTATTCTAAGGACTTTTTACTTTAAAGTGACTCTGGCGACTTGTGACTCATTTTCACCGAGTGGGTCACAAATATGCATTGTAATGTCAGGACCGGTCGAACAGTACAACAGTGGGCCCTAGGCAAAAGTACTACGCCCAAAGCCGTACCACTATAAATGTCATCGCGCTGTTATCACCGGAACTTTGCATAAATTTCATGTTGATGCTCAGCTGTACTGTACCAGTTGATTCAAGCCTTCCCAATATAAAATAAACAATCAAAGCTTTGAAAACATGATGTTCGTTTTATGAAGCAATTCTGGAGCACAGGCAACATAAAAAGCTTTATTTTTTTCTGCTGGTAGAAATTCGTGCCAATGTTGCTTCCCTCGATTATTTCGTTCCTTTGAAATTTTGTTTCGTTCCTTCCAAATTTTGATTGGCTCCCTACAAATATTATTTCGTTTCCTCAAAATATATTTTGGTGCCATGGAAATAATATTCTGCTCCCTCGAAATAATTATAGGGAGGCTAGCTCAAAGTGACTATCTTTGTTTTAGGCGCGTAGTGAAAGGTTTGTTAGCTAAACGAAATTAGTATTGAGCATTTAACTCAGCTATCGATCGATCATTAGTTTATTTGATCATTCTGGGAGTATTTGGGTTACACTCAATCGGTGTTTGTAACTGGCAAAGTCAGAAGTTACACATTTGAAATAATATACCTATTAAAATACCGAACCCACCGCATTTAGAAAAGGCTTAGCATTCAAGTCCAGTTTTCTAGGGGGAGGGGTAGGTAGCGACTTGTGCAAAGAACTCGAACAGAGTAAGAATGATAATTAAATATGCAAGCTTATTGACCACAATGAAAACTTTACTCATTACATTCATATTTATTATCCAATGCTACGTTAGTGACAATTATGTCATTCAGTTTACCAACATTATTCCAGCTGTCAAGAGTCAAAGACACCACCCTTAGGAATTTTTTTTTTTAGATTCACATCAAAATTGGGGAGAGGGGAAGACGGAAGGGGATAGGGAATTCTCCTTCCTTAAAAAACCTTAAGCGCTGCCACAAGGCGGATTGATTAAGTTTAAGAAATAAACTCCCGCAGTTCCGCCTCCCCAGTTTAACGGTTTGTGTTGACCGACGTGGATCTAGGTCAAACTACAAGACGAAGTTAATTCTAAAGTAGAACCATGCTCGGAGAGAATAACGCAGTCGGGACTTCAGTAATTCAGAACAAGAACAGTTCTTTAACTGTGAAATCTGCAATTTCGATCATGTCAGCACTCCTATTTGCATTCTTTGTCTACAATTCTCACAGTTCCCATGTATGTAAACCAGTCTGCTCCTTTAAGTAATATTGGTGTGACAAAATTAAACTAGGCCTAAGCTCTGCAAATCTTCAGTACGCCAAGGGGGCAAGGGGAGTGTGGGGGATGCCGAGTAACGCAGAGTGCTATCAGGCAACCTGGCATCCACTAACATGGCCAATGATAGAACCGGTTCGAACTTGTCCCATCAATACGGCCGTTTCACAATAGTGCGCCACGGTAAGTTTGAAACGCGTTGGCCGATATACGCGATCACAGTGCGCGAAATCTGTCGACCAAATGAGCGCTTGGAAAGGGTCGACTGACGAGCGTTGTGACGAGCCAAACTCTTGGAGACGCACTATTGTGAATCACTTGTATTAACCAATAACTTTAGGCATCGTTTTAAGCCTCTGCCATCCTTATGAGTGAACAGTCTTTCTTTAAATAAAAAGAAAAACAAAACCCTCGACGCAGTTTATCTAAACAAACAAACAAACAAACAAACACCCCAACAAACAAACAGACAGACACCCCGACAAACAGACAAACAAACAAACAACCCAACAACCCAACAAACACAGAAGGCCTCAGGCCTTTCTCAAATATTAGCACACATGGTGGTAAAAACTCTGACACCGCCTGGAAACATTGCCGAGATATCTCAGCGATGCGCTCTAAAAGATCTTAGTTGAAAGAATATTGCTGTTAAATTGTGAAAAGCGCGTCCAGTATTAATCTGGGAAATCATTGCCATTTTATTGAAGATTTAGATCGAAGAAGAGATCGGGTTCAACCAAGAGCTGGGGCAGATCCAGCTTTTGGTGTGTGTGTGGATGTGAGTGTGTAAACGCCTATACGGGGCAAATTCAGAAGCGAATGTGGCTTCGGGCTTATTCAACACGGTGTTTGGGGGGATATCAAACGCTTACGGTCCCAACACTCTTGCTTTTATTTCGTGGTGTTGTTTTGCTATAGGGTTTTGGTGATTATATTCCATAAATAAATGTACAGATCTCTTTCTATCTATACTCACCTATAGTAAAAGAAATTTTAAAGTTCTGGGAGGGAGTTGCCCCCTGGCCCCCGGGATACGACACCGGCCAATGGCCATGATATAACAATAACTTCAACATGACGTCGTTGTTGCTTGATCAGGCGGACGTACGTATGCACTGTCGCGCGACGTCGGTGTTTGGGTCTTCAACTGGCACTATGGAAATAATTCTGCTGGTACTAACTCACAGCTGGATTTCCTATCTTCGGAAATAGTTAGCTTTGTGTCGAACGCCAAGGTGTCACGTGGTAGTCCCCTGTAGCTCTGTCTCTAATTAAACCTCGAATGCGCGGAGGGTCAGTTATTCGTATCAAGCTTGTGCAGAGTGCTTGTTGCGATTTTACTTCATCCTCGACTCGCCTGTCCCAAACGCCGACATGATTGGAACCATCATCATCGTTTTGTTGAGCACTCTTCTGGTTTATCTTTCGTGGTAAGTCATTTTCCGCAGGGATGGCATTTTTTTTACGGTCACTAGGATCCAGCATTTTCCAAAAAGAGGTGGAGCCCACGCAAATCGGGGCAAACATGAAAAACGGAACTTAACCGTATGCACAAAGCAGTAACTATTTAAAAGCAGAAGAACGAACGAGAAAAAGCACGAGCTTAATCAAGAAACTCCAAAACAACATAAAAACGAAACGGGGTGGAGGGCCACACGCCGGCATTGCCCCCAGATCCACCTCAGACATATTGCCAGTTACTTTTAGGAAAACATACTAAAAATCAGTCACACTTTAACTCATCTCGTTGTTAAAACTCATTTGCGATAGTTAAACCATAGAATATTTGAACTGGTTTTTATTTGAATAAACAATGTATGCATGCACAATGGCACTGAATCTTGATTTACACTCATTTCGTCACCGGTTACCGAGGAATGCGATGTAATCGCAAGGAAAAAGACACGGTGTAATAATTTGATGGGCATTTCTTGGAATTAAAGCTCGCAATTATTGACGTTGCTCAACATGAACACTCCGTAAGGCTGAAAGCGTGGACACAAAACATTGTGTTACACCACCAGAAAGAAATTATGAAGGGCAACCGCAGAGCTTAATTGTACAAACACCCCCCCTACAAGCACGATTTCCAAGGTTAAGACTTTATAGGGATATGTTTCATTTCACGTCAGATGTGGAGGCAAAATGCGGTTCAGCGAAAACTGGTAAAACCCAGGTATTTTAAAGGAGTCGGGTGGAGAATGTATAGCTTTAACGGTTTTAGTTACATAATTCAAGTACGGCTTTCTTCCAGTTATTTATCTCATTGTTTCTTTTTACAGGCGCACGTACGACCAGCTGACATTTTTCTCAAAGTTGGGACTGAAGGGACCAACTCCTGTTCCAATATTCGGCAATCTTTTTGGATTCAAAGACGTGAGTATGCAAACTCATGGCACGTATCAAGGAAGATGTGTCTGGGCTTGGCCCAAGAATGCACAAAGAACGACTTAGCCTGATGTATGCTACCCGCATAACTTTTTGACGAAGACCACGCACGCACCAGATTAAAATCTTGAAGGTGTGTAGGGAAGGCCAGCTCAATGATTGGGGTCAACAACTAATCACGATCGAGACTTTTTTTTCTAATATTGTGATTAAAGTGCGATTAGTAATCGTTTCTGTGTTTTGCAAAATGCAAAAGTGTATGTTTCTGGCAGAAGTGGCGATGGCTGTACAGATGTGTTCTTTTTTCACATAAACATCTTTGCGATGCGTGGGCGACGGATTATATAAAGGTGTTTTTAAATCAACCTACCTTCCCAATAATTTCTTCTTAATTACCACATACAGGGAGTTCACATTGCAATCGGCAAATGGATAAAGGAATATGGCAAGACCTTTGGGTAATTTGCGATTAAATAGTTTGCAACCGAATTAATTTTCTCACTTTCAATCGTGCCTTTATCTCATCAATTGGTGCTGAATAGAGTCCAGACCAGTGAAACTATTATTCTTATTTATTAAGTTAGGGTAGGACAAAATATGACAGAAATATACAATATATTGTGTTGGTTGTTGAATAAAAATACTCATTGCTTACCCAATTGGCCAAGTTCTCAATAACAAAATGCCACTGTGCGGTACAAACTTTCACACTATACCGCATGTATGCCACCACGAGTAATGATTTGCCACGTGTTTTGTACAAGTGCACCCATACAGGGCACTGACGAAATGAAGAAAAACTCTGTTTTAAAATTATATGCAAAATTATACAAAAATGTTTGACAGCATATGCCCTATAGGCAGGTTTGGATGCTCCAGCCTCTTGGCATTCATCTATTGTGTCAATCCGAAAGTATAAAATTCATTAAAATCAGAGTGCATTTTCAGTTTGAAAATGTAGCTAGTTTACATCTTCGACGTTGTTTAGTCGTGGTGGGGGAGCGATGCCGAAATTTCTTAAAGCTACACTGGGCCCTTAATGACACCCGTCTTCACTCTCTCACGCACAGCATTTCCCGTGGAGCCCAAAAGGTGATCGTGACCTCGGACGTGGAATTCGTCAAAGAGGTCATGGTGAAGCAGTTTTCTCATTTCGTTGATCGACAGGTGAGACTGTTCTACAGATAGAAACGGGGATTAATAGAAGATTAAAAAGGCATGTTCATAATCAAACTTGGGTGTGAACAGCGCTCGAAGTGCACACCAAAGTTAGGTTTATCAACATGCCTTTTCCTAGTGAATACTACTATGGGTTCCGAGCTGGAGCAAGAGAGGGGCAAGTTACCTAGCAACAGAGGCTCTTTTGGCAGTAATGCGCATCGCTGGTTCAAGAAAGATTAAAGTCAGGGGTTGCGGTTGCATCTTTCAGCACTCCCTACCAACATGGCCTTTTCTAACCAACAAGGGGGTGCTCCTGCTCTATGCACCACTTTTGACATTGGCGTAAGGCCTATAAGTCGGTCTATAAAATCGGGATACATTTTTCTCCAGTTTATTTAACATCTCGTGTACAATTTGTAAATTTAGAATACAGGAGTGATCAAGTAGGGTCAGTTTACCTGCCAGTCAAATAAAAAACCGTTTGAAATCAATTCCATACAGTGATAAAATTCCCTACATAAATCACTCAGGTCAGGTGTAATAAGGACGGATAATGTCATACTTCGGAATCCAAATTTATAGAATGACAGTTTTGTGCAAGGTTACACTCTAAGATCTTCCGAGTCAAATTTCTGGTTCGTTCTTTTTAACCCCCAAAGGGAATCTGTTGACTCAGAAATGGGTCAGGCTCAACGGGACACCGATCTGGGTCAATCTGACTCAGGAGTGTTCAGGGAGTATGGCTGCGTTAATGAGGACAATTCGCTAATTGCTAAAAAAAATAACTAAAGTTGTTGCAGACAAAATACGAACACAGACAGTGTTGGAGACTTTGATGGATAACGCCTAACGCGAATAAGTTTCCACCCTACCTTACCAACTGTATATTTCAAGCAAATTATAAACTAAGGTACTCGTCTTTGCTACACATGGTGTGGCCAGATCAAAACGAAACTCATATTGTTCACAGTTAAAATGATTAAGAAAAACATCGATTGTGCATGTGTTGATATTGCCCTGAAAATCATACTTTATAGAAAAAGAGTCTTTTTGCCTTTTCACGACTACCCCTCACGACTACCATCAACTTACAGACTTGAGAAGTGGTCATCAGCTATCAAGCCTCAGGACAATGGCCATGCCGACAAAAATGCAAGATATGATTTTGTTCACAATGTACATTCGCGTAGCTTCCACTCAGAAACTCTTACGGGAGGGTTGTCGTGTATGCCCTATCGAACACGTGATACTGTGAAAATGAGCCTTCAACTCGAGTCAATCGGTCGAAGCTACTCGAATACACCCATTTTCTTCTTTATTTGAAAGTGGCCGTTACTTTACGATTTCGAACTACCAGCATATAATGTAAACCCAGTAGGCTGACAGCTTTTTTTTGAGCAGCGACATTTATGAGACATAAAAATTTATGACGCAAATATTTTCCGCATTCTGTTTCTTGAGTGTCGTGTCCGACTGAAAGCTACCGACCTTGAGCAGAAGCACCCCCTCATCGGTAGAAAAAGTCATCGTCAGTGAGCTCATTAAGGTAGCGATGCTACCGCAACGCGGACATTTTATGCTCGTTTGTGAACCACCAAAGTGGAGTTCCTACCAAAGGAACCTGCGTTGCTAGGGAAATTGCGCCCTCTCTTAGCTCAGCTTGGGGCTTATAGGCCTATTGTAAGACGATTGGAATGAAATTCGTTCAGACGAGTTTTTCTTAAAAAGATGTAGCAGTGTAGAAGAGTAATCTCCTCATTAGACCTGTTCTCTATTAGCAAAAGGTTTTCCTCTTTTGAAATATAAAAAGTGGGACAACAGCAATCGTCTGGGGAAGAAAGGCAGGAATAGGTAGTTAACGAGTAGCATGCTGTAAGAAAGAATTATAAATGCTACGAAAAAAAATAGTTCGATTATTAGTTCGATCTTGTGCGATGGACTGACCGAGGACGAAATGTTTGGGGGTAAGGACAATTTGATTTTTTTCTGGGGGCAAAAATTTAAGAATTTCTTTTTGTGGTTTTTCTAAGGCTTTTTTTTTCACATCCTTTTGGAAGAAAGGGAAATGAGGTACATTGTAGACTTTCCAAACGCCTTCTTTCTTTTCCTGAAGATGTTCTGAATAAAGAACGAAATATTGAATCAAACATGGTTTTCATTAGTCTATATGGAGTCTGCATAATATTGAGTCTTCTTTCTTATATTTCTTAAAAAAAAACTTTTTTGCCCTCTGCCCATAATAGCCAGTGGACACGTATTAAACATTTGCGTAATATGTAACATCACAAATTGAACATTCAGGTCAAAAGGAAAATGCTAAAATAATTGCATTGAAGCAAATGTTAGTATTATCCCTTTGTTGAATTGCGTCACTTAATGAAATTTGTGCGACTTTCAGGCTAATTGCTTGTCATTGCTAATCTTTGAACTGACCAAAGTGCTAGGGGAGTCAGATTGGTGCGGTGGCTCTTCCCTCGCCTTCCAATGGGGCCGCGGCCCGAGTTCGATTCACGGCTGGGTCCCGTTTTTTAGTCCCCTAGTCCCGATTCCGTGGGGTTTAGCCCAAAATATTCTTATCAGGTTTTCTTCCACCCCTAAACTGTAATTGCTTCTCACTGTCTCCTCTCCGCAGACTCGTGAGCTGCAGTATACTTATGACGCTTTGGGGGAATCCGTGGTTTCATTAATTAACGATAATAGTAATAAGAATCTTACATTTGAAAAGGTATAGATTTAAGATTGGATAATGGATGGATTATGTTCGGTTGCTTTCCCTTATTTTAAACATAGGGTTTTCCTCTCCGTCCAAATGAGATGTGCTATGACCTATTGGACCTCAAGGGAGAAAGATGGAGGACGATGAGAGAAACTTGTTCATTGGCCTTCAGCAAGCACAAGACGGAAAGGGTAAGATTCAAGCTATATTTCTGAAACGTTTCCCAGATCTAAGTTGGTTTACTAAAATCTTCACGCATTTTGTTACATTGCTCGTTACGTGTATGAGGCAAATGAATTAATCGGCATGCGTATATACGCTGGCCCTGGAGGGACATCACCTGTAGTCAATATTGACGTCAATATTTGCGACCAGATTTACCACCCACTCTGGGTCGTAATTTTAGCCGCAAATATTGAGGTGCAAAAGTGCTTACTCGTCATTCCCCGTGTTGAGAGGTGCTGACACCAACCTCGACTCCATGGGCTGCGTTTGCTTTCCATTACCGCAAATGTATGTTGGGAAACAACATGGCGCGGCAAGATCGTACCCATGGGAACGAAGTTGTTGTGACGCCTCCTGGGTGCTGACTTTACTCATGCGAATGTCCGTTGAAAGTTATCATAGCTATGGAATAAATATTTGTTGAAGCATCCTTTCAGAATACTGACATAGATATCCAAATGGCCGCACAAAGGCCGCACAAAATTTTGAATTATCCATAGGTTTGTGCACAAACATGGACGCTCCTTCAATTACGTCACTTAAGAGGAATAGAAAATAAAACCAAAAAAAAAACCCAACCTACTTAAAGCATACAGCTTTACTTTGCGCTGCGAGTTAAAAATCTGTATTACATATGCAAATGGACCTATGGTGCTGGTCAATTAGTAGCTAAAACGCCACGAACTATCGGGGGTACGTAGAGACATGATTGAGACTTGCAACGAGCTTTTATACCCTTGTAGCACTTTCAATTCTCTCCGTGGGGTACCATTGTAACTGTAGAAAGTTGTTAAATTTGTAATGCAATCATTCATAACAAAGAGTTCCCACCCTGTGACGTGTTTATTTCCACATCCAGATGTTGTCAATGGTTAACGAGTGTGCTGATACCACTATCAAGGACATACAAGAGCATGGGAAGAATACGAATGGTGTCTTGGATATCCATAAGTAAGTGTGACCTTTGAGAGAACATAAAAGCGACATGCACATTTTCATTTCCCGACTACACCGCTTCATAAAAGTTGCGTCCTATCAACATTTTAGCCCTTGAAATAGACGTTTGCATAGCGATTTACAACCAGGGCAATTAATTTAGAGCGATGAACATTTGGCGACCAAATAGTCAATTTCTGTGGTAAACTGTAGACAATATCTTAGATATCAGGTAAAAATGGATCAGTAGTTGACAGAAATTGTTGTTGCTCAAACTTGCCTCAACTAACATTATTATCCATCGAGCAATAGCCGCGGCAACACCGTTGCCTAGCAGCTGATCGGACTGCAGTTCCGACTGTAAAAGACATTTTTCATGGGTTAGAGTTTTAGTCTGAAGTTCGTAAATTCTCTTGGAGAGTTAATCACTGACAGTTTTTTTCGTTTGGGTGGAAGATACATGGCTGAGTTTGGTATAGACGTAGGAGCGTACTGTTTCTTCGCGTCCAAAGTAACCGCGGAGCAGGAGAAGTTCGTCTTGATGCAACATGCATATGCACTCTGGATCCGATTTAAAACCGTTTACGTACCCTGGCTGCTCACGGGTAAGTGTAGTGGCATGTGCCTTTTGCATCATTCTTTTCGTTTTGCCACCATGGTCAAGCATAGATCGGTTGGCAAAAACTGCACTTATAAAGGTCTGTCGACTGATCCTATGCAGGAGCTGCCACAACTACAACTTATAAATATTCATGACCAAATGATGGCTTGTCATCAGCCAATTTCGCTGCCCGTCCGCGAATTAGTACTGACACGCCAAGAAAGACGTCATCCCAGTATTCTGCTCATGCAGTTTGGTGGTTTTTTGGTAGGCCTAACATAAAAAATTTCCTCTGGAACCCACCTCGTAGACATAGTCTGTGACATGTAATCTTAATATCGATTCCATTTGGGCACTGAATCACACACCCCTTGGACTAATTATTGTATAGCAGTTACCGCTGTACCAATGGCAGATGTCCTTTTAAAACTCCACAAAGCCGGGAAAAACGTAATAATCTCAGAAAGTTAAGGGTGTATAAGATTGATCATTGTTGTTTGATTACAAAGTAACAAAACGTCCCCCCTCCCTCAACTTTCAGTGCTGTTTCCCAAGTTGGAGCCTTTGCTGAAGCTGCTGGGCTGCTCAATCCACCCTCAAACATCCGTGGATTACTTCACAAGTCTGATGAAGGCCATTATGGACACTCGCAAATCCGACCCAAATGCCCAGGTAGGCTGCAGGTGCTAGCGGATAAGGAGGAGGGGATGGAGAAGGAGGCAGCGATGTAGGCCCTTGGCCTCCTTTGTAGGACCAAGGGGTCCATGGGGAAGAATGCCCTGTTAAAACGGTTAGATGGTCTGACCTTCGTGTACAATGAAGGCAAAAGTGTAAGGTAAAAGAAGATGCGAAGTAGGAGGTCAGGTGGACAGGCCGCCAACGAAAACAATTCTTGAAATAAAAATAAATCTAACCCCACGATCCTACACAAAACTAGAAATAGTGGACATCCATCTCTCTATACCGACGATGGAATGAGCCCAGGTAGTTGTCGCCTCTGCTGCAAAGGCAGCTGTGGCTGAGCAGTCGTGGTTGAGCAGCCCTATACTCGTGCATGATAGTATCTGCTCGGAGTTCGCATAGACACAGGGGGAAGGGCCTGGTATAGGGATCGGGACTGATGCTTGTAGTTTCTTCTTCCACCACTTCTCCTTTAGCAAGAATGACAGCCTCCGCAACTGTCTGCCTCCACGAGCCGCGATCTTGGGCGGCTTCCTCCAAGCTGTTGGCGTCAGTGCCTGCCTGCTTCACGTCGCGCTAAATGCAAGCACGGGCGACCAACATGCATGGAGCCTATCGACAGCTTGCCATACAAGATGGCCTTAGGGAGTCAATTACAGACCATCCAGTGGACGTGGCCAAGCCATCTAAGGCGGCACTGGCACTACCGGTGGAGTGGGCAATTTCAAGGACTTAAACTGGTTTGGATACCTTCTACTGCAGATGATTCCCAGGATGCAGCGTAGGCAATGTGTGTGGAAGATGTTGAGACGGGACTTTCTGTTGTCTTACGTTGTGGGTCCAGGCATCACGCCATGCTGCATGGTGTTGATGTATGATAGACCGTAAGTACTTTCACCTCCTTCTTTGACCACAATCTATTAAACAGCTTGGCCATCACAGTGGTGACCTTTGCAAGACGGGTGTTCAGTTCTGCATCATGTGAAATGTTGCTAGAGACGGTGCTCACGCTGACGGAGGTTGGGTCTTTTAGATGCTGATGGTGAAGACGAATTCCTCGCGTGTCCGAGAAAGCCTGCCCATTTGGCTTTGGAGCCCTCACCCTTAGGACCACGCTGGTTAGTTTAGTCTTGGATGTCTGACGGACAAGGTTGAAGAGCATGCCATCAGCTCTGCGGTAGACGTCTTCGTGAAAAGAACCGGTGAAAACAACAACAGGAGAGAAGAAAATTCCCCAAGATGTTTGTTGCGAGAATGCAGCCCTGATTCAACCCGCTGCAGATCAGAAAAGACCCTGGAGATTCTCCTTCACAGCGGATTGTGCCTTGCATACCACCGTGGAATGATTTAGAGTGTTGAGGAACTTAAAAGAAGGCAATAGAGAGATATATATAAATAGCGCTGTGGGGCCCCGTCAATCTTCGCAAGTAGCTTGAAGAGGCTGTAGGCCTAGCTGCTGACGAGGTCAAAGGCCTTTATGAGGTGTTAAACACGGAACTCCTCTGTCCCCGGCATTCTCCCGCACTTGTTGAAGGATGAAGATCATCTTGCTGCCCCAAGGCTGCACTGTGATTCAGGGTGGACACCCTCTGCCAAGAACTGGTGGTAAGGGCTTTGGTAAGGGCAACACAGGCGAAGACCTTATGAAGCAGAGAGATGTAGTTGTTGCAGTCGTCACGATCTCCCTTGTTCTTGGACGGTGTGACGATCTTAGTATCGCACATGGGGGACGGCTCCTATACGTTCCAGCAGAAGCAGAGGAGGTCATGTAGATGTAGCAGTATGGAGGATTTCCCAAGTGGAAGACGTCTGCAGTTTTCCTGTCAGCTTGTTTGTCGCTCGACCTGTCCACCTCTCTGTGTCAAGTCATTCCCAAAAGCTTATTTGGGTGTCTGTTGTGGAAGTTTGCTAAAAAAATGACATTTGCATGAGAATAATGAAAAATTGTACAGCTGTTCTCACTTGTCTCCCCCCAGGAGTACGTGGACTTCCTTCAGCTGATGCTTAACTCCGAGAAGGGGCTAGAAATCAAAGCTTCCAATGGCCAATCAATACAGAAACGTGCTCTCACCGACAACGAGATTTTCTCAATGGTTTGTCTTTTGGTTTTAACAAAGTAAAATGCTTCGTGCAGAAGCACGGCCTCAATGGTGACGAAGACAGAGAGTTGAACCGACATTACATTACAATGAGCCAGTTCGATACTTGAAAAAAGCAGGTCAGAGGTTGGGGCGACATTAGATTACAACGAGCCAAACCGGTGTTTCAGGTCATTCGGGAACAAAGCACGCGCGCCTATTCCGCTGATAGGGCAGATCTCGCACGCGCCGCCCGAATGACCTCGGGTGCGCTTCGTTTCAGGCAAGCGCGGCTGGAAAACTGAAAAGGCTCATTGGCTCTTGCACTGCACATATCACGCACACTTTTCTTTTCATTAAAGAAAATTGTGGAAATCACTTGTTTTCTTAAGCTGCGAACTGACACTTCTTTAATTTTTTGTTGTTGATACTTTCCTCAACTATTTCTCTTCCTTTTGCTGCAGATAAGATTCCAAAATGCCTCTAAACCTATTTGTTCCAAGATGGGGAAGCCTTGTTTGGACCTGGATCAGTCCACATTGTAATTTTGTGGACTTGTTTGATTTTTAAGTCCATATATTATTATTTAAATGCGTATCTTGGTCTTCATCAGAAGCGCGTATAAAACTATCGGCTCTATGAACCATACGCTTTTGATCAGATTTGACAACTTTCTGGAGATCGTTCAATGGTCCGTTTCGTATAGTTAACTTTTAAGCCGTCATCCTTTTACGTAACAAATGGGACCCGATACAACTTACTGTGCCCCAGCAAACTGAATTCTTGAATTAACAAGGGGAAACAAAATACAGGCTGACTTTTCATTAGTTTTCAACGAAGATAAGGTCATCAGGGGAATCACTGGGAGTATAAGTTCATTTCTTTCCCTTCAAACCTCCACCGATACGGTAGTGCATGACTGTCTTCACCGGCAACATGGAGACCAGCCCTGGCACGTTGGCCTACGCCTTCTTCGCTCTAGCTTTACACCCGGAAGTACAGGAGCGTGTGATTGAAGAGATAGATCGGGTTACGGCCGACGGAATCACCCCTGAGAACGTTCGCAAGCTGGCCTACACGGACATGGTGCTGCGTGAGGTTCTACGGTTGTATCCGACAGTGGCCTCGTGAGTGTTATCGTTTATACATGGCATGACATTTGTGTGTATATAGCAGTAGGTTATCTACTGACGTGAGTAAAGAAAGGCCGAATAGGGGCCAACCAGGGTATACAAGGGTGTTCACACCAGACCAACCTCGTTTCCAGGCTGTTGAGCAATGCACCACCACAGCCACTTTAACCCAACCAAAATTAAGCCATAGGTACAATATTCTGTATTTTCCCTTGATAAACTGTGCACGACTTATTACAAAGCCAACTAGAAGAATAAATCAGCAACATCCGTTTCTCTGTATAACCATAGAGCTACTGGGTTGTAGCTCTATGGTATAACATTGTTGCTGAATTCGGGAGAATTTTCCGAAAATGTTGGAATTTGGAAAGCGAGTGATATACATGTAGGTAAAGTATCAAAAACGAACTAAACAGGCAGGACTAGTTCGAAGCCTAAGTTCGCTGATTTTCATGTTTGTTACGCAGTCTGAATCGAGTCTGCCTGGAGGACTGCGTTGTGAAAGGCATCAAAATTCCTAAAGACACGCTGGTCGAGATCGCCGTCTACGCCATCCACTGCGATCCTGAAAACTGGCCCGATCCATACAGATTCGACCCCGAGAGGTGAGGCACAGCGCACCTGCGTTCCAAGCAGCACTAAGACGCCTTTCCACATGCGTGTCAACACTAGCGCCAAGCCTTGCGTATCCGTCAAAATCGCTTCTAGTGCGATTTTGCCGGCCGAACGCAACGCACATTGTGTGTTATGTTAATGGAGCCACCTGAACACATCGTGTATACGCAACGCACTCAAAAAGTACATAGGCCTATGGAAATGCACCTTTAGCAACCTTTCGACTCGTATGCCCGTCAGTACACCCTTACAATCACCTGTAGCAAATGTTAAACATGATTTACATGTGGTGCTTATGCAGAATGGAAATTATAGCGATGCCAGATCATCAAGTTTAAATGGTGCTGGAGACGAGCGTAAAGCAGAGATTAACAGCTAAGTCAGAGTGTCATGGCTACGGCTAGGTTGCTTATGGCGTTACATGTACATTCTTTTCATTTTCTATCCGATTTAATTTAGTTTCGCTGATTTACTAGATTCGCCATATGCAGCAAGGTATGAGACGGAGAGAACCCTCTGCTTTGTGTTGGTCATTGTCTTGCAGGAATCTGTGGAATTCCTTTCAGACATCTTGGGGGATGTGTTAAGTAACAATAGTCTGGAATGTGTATAGGGATTGGACATGTTGGGGGGGTACCCCTCGGTCTCATTTCTTGCTGGGTATAAGATTCGCTAAGTTAAAATTGAGACTGGCGAACCAGCATGACAGAAATGAATCGAGGTTCAAAGATTACAGAATGTAACTTACCGAGTTGTAATATACATTCTTCTTCGAGAATTCGGCAGAAACTTTGTGAGTTTAGTATGGAAACAAAATGGTTTCTACGCAGCAACTAAATTCTAGGAATACACTCGTCAGAAGCCTTAACTTTGACCATTTCAGACAAACGCAATTGCACTTACTCTAAGCGTTAGATAATACTGTAAAAACCGTCTACTCGTCACAGATTTTCCGCGGAAAACAAGGCCAAGATGGACCCAATGACTTGGCTTGCCTTCGGCCAGGGGCCCCGGATGTGCCTCGGTTATCGCTTCGCTATGATGGAGATGATGGTCATAATGGTCCGCATGTTGAAGAAGTACCGTTTGGAGACATGCGCAGAAACTGAGGTATGACGTCTACAGAAAACCAGTTCAGAAACTGTAGGGGGCGCTGTAGCATAAACGTTCCCTTCCCATACTACGTGCATTGTGAACTTTATGTGCCTTCCATATAATCTGGTGCATTATTTTTATTCAGGTTTCTAAGGAAGCATATTGCTGTCATCCTAAAATATTTTAAAGATATTTAACCGTCGTACTTTCTCGCTCAGAGACTTACAGTCTCGTAATGACTTCCGATCGTATTCATATTATTTCCTTTCTCTTATAGGAACGTAGTTTGATTTAATCAAAATATAAAGTAAAGTCCTTTAAACGAGATAGCAAGTCATTTTGAACGATATAGTATAGCTATTTAAACGAGATAGTAAGTCATTTAAATGACTTAAACTTTTGTTACGTTGGCAGCTCCATTTCAGTTGTTTTGCTTAATCGCTTTTAGCCCACTATCATCTGAGTTACTTGGGGAATGGCACAGCTGAAATTTCAGTAATTTTGTTTGGTTTTGTATTCCGATCAGATCCCCCCATCTCGAGGAGTTCGTGGCCTTATGTCTCCGGAGCACGGCATCAAAATCCGTCTGGTGCCAAGGCAGAAACAAACCGAGTAAACGTCGTGTGTGTGCTGCAGAAAATTGCACCAAACGTGAAGGATATTTTTTTGGTACTGCAGCGGGAGCTGGTGGCTCGTTTTGCATTAATGCATTTAAAACAGTATGAAAGTTTTTCAAAACGTTGTACTTCTCCAACATTAACAGGTTCATCAATTTGAAACTAATTGACTGGCAAAAATCGTCGTGGAACATAGATTGATGCACACTTCTCAACCTGTCTCAAAAAACCGATTGAAGGTGGTCATGTGACGGGTTATGACCATGAGCAATCGTCACTCGATGAATTATAACAAAAGAAAATTTTTACGTGCAACCATAGAGATATATTTAATTACTTGAGCGGTAACCTCTCATTCTCTGCGCGGCGAAAATTTGACATTTTGAATCCATGTCATTGATCTCCATTATAAAGACGTTATAATGGAGATCAATGATCCACGTGCTTGCTTGTAGAATATTCGAAATCAGATGAAATGAATATCGAATCATGTACTCTAAATGCAACGTGAATCGGGTACCGCTAAAATCTGATCTAAAAAGCCGCGTCAAAAATGCAGCGCATGCTCCCACGTGCCTCCGTCGTTTGCGCAGAGGAAAACGAACCACTCATTACTGATTGTGCATCAGTGTTTTGCGTAATCGGCTTCGTTGACGCATCGTTTTACCACACAGACGCAGATATGCCAATAGCCGTACCAAAAAAAAAAAAAATACAAAATTTCGAGTTTTCCATAGCATTGTGTACAAACATAGATGCGTCGAGCAGGCATCACTTATTGGTTCGAGTCGGCACTCTAGTTTTTTATATGTAGGTCTGTGGATGCTGTAAACATTTTTGTTACATAAACACGCCTAATTATTCTTGTAGGCCGTATATATTAATATTTACAAAATAGCTTAGTTGTCACACTATCGTACTCAAGGCACGCACTGTACAGAGTAATAACATCAACTTCGAGAAAACATGAATTCTCAGTTCTGATTGGTCTACGCATGGCAACAAACAGTGTGATATATATAACCGTATTGCACCGTTCACCTTTTTAGCTCCTCGGTACTGCTATCTCTTCTTTTCAAATATTGCAACCGCATTGTTTCGAATCCCTATGGGGCAGAGTAAGTAAATTGAGGATTTTATTACGATCGAGAAATGGCTTCATAGAATGTCATGGCTGGAATTCTTCAACTGTACGTAAATTCCCTATGCCAAGGGGTGAATCTGCCCACAGTTTTGATTTTAGTCGGGCGCGCTGTACTTTTAGAGTGGCGGAGTTAGAATAGCGCATTAGGCTATTGAACAAATATAACATGGTTGGAAAGTCGATGTTAGTTTCCTGAGGTATTGGGAGTTGACAAACTAGTCCCTGGGCGAAATGAACCATGTTATATTTGTTTTACTATACCTCATACATAGCTTATTTAATTACCTCTGAAAATAAAAACATTATCATTAATTTGTTTCCACGAACAAAATTTGTTCCTAAGATCGAAACACAAACACTTTATCTTTTTCGATTGAAATTTATTTCACACAAAAGAATGCAGGCAGATGAAACCTCTCATCATTTTCATGAGCTGCATACCGTTGCTAGGCTGGCTCCACCACGAATGCACAGTACACACGAACGTCAGTTCTTAGATTTTCTGCTGCTGCGCATGCGCTTTCAACTGACGCCCCAGGGTAAGCCAGGCGACAATTTAAAACGCAGGCGTATTTACTTGTTGCGTGAACGATCGCGTGTGCGCTTGGCAAACAGCAAAAATAGCGGCTAGTGATGCGGGATCGTGAATGCATTAATGAGAGTTCGGCGATCCATCAAGAATATGCGTGAGGTATAGTAAATTGTTATATTTCACACTGTTTGTTGCCATCGATCGACCAATCAGAATTGAGAGATCAAGTTTGTTTGAAGTTAACATAAAGCATATATAAAAGTTTAGACATGAAAGTATGTTAAACGTTGACTCAGATATTGGAAATTCGTAAGGATTATTTGTATAGCTGTGCACTCTCTTTACAGGAATTCGGATTTAGATTTCAGCTAATTATGGGGAAAAGGGGCGTCAGCCGTATAGCATCTCACCGCATAGTTTAGACTTCGACTTGTGTAAGGTCAGACGCACGTTACGCGAATATCGCAGCATCATGTGATATGCTTTTATACATTTTTTCTTATCCATTGAATTCGTTTGGTCCAAATCCTCTCAGTTTCTTTTTAACTGAGCGAAAGTTTAGAAAAGAAACAGCGTTAACTGTATGAACAGTCGTTCCCATGGAAATTATTTGAGTTGGATATTATTGCGTGGAAAAAAACGACAGGAAGATCAAACTCTTCTATCGAAGTTTGTCTCTTGTAATTTTTATTTAGATAAATTTATATTAGAATTTTGACAGGTTTCTATTCAGATATCATTGTAGTATTTGGTATGGGTTTCGTTGTAACCCGTAATTATGTTATGATCTGATTTGGCAGTGTTTGGAAAGGGTAAGAATTTTATTATAAATAAAACAGGTGGCTGGCAGCACATTTTAAGTGTCTATGTTTTACTTTGTGAATTAAATGAAACTTGGAAATACAGTAATCTGAGGAGAATGCATCATCATTAAAACTTGGAATTTCAGGACTTTGAACGTCACTAAGAGAAAAAAAACAGAACTTACCAACAAAATGGAAAGATATCACTGCAACATGGACTCAGTGAAACGCAATGAAGGAAAGTTGGAGGAGCTTCATCGATGGAAAGGACAGAGACAGGCACGGTATGGTTTCCTTGCTAACAATAATTGAGAACGGCGTGAATGTTCCATGGTACCAGGTTGCCATCCAGAATCTAGTTGGTTTGTCACAATGGGCTGCGGGGGTGTCCTTCTGAAAAATGGCAAATAAAAAGAGGAAGAAACAGGGGGAAAGCGAGAGAAATTGATCTATAGAGATGATAGGGGATGAAAAGCACTTATTCGAGTTAAAAATAAAATAAATAAAAATGGACCCGTTCCCACTGTTGTTTATTTCATTTTAGCTGATGAGTGCTTTGCTCCACCGCTGAAATTTCCCATCGAAAAAGTGATTTGACCCCCTCCTTCTGAAAAATTCCTGGCGACGCCCAGGAAGCCTGTTCACTATTAGACTAGGGTAAGCCTTTCTAACATTAACATCATCGTCAAAGCTCATGTCTGCTCCAAACCAGACTACATTAATACATGTACATGTACATGTAAACACCGAAGTTGCCTTTAGGGCTGCATTCCACGTGCACCAAGCACGCGAGCTCATTAGTACTTTGTGATCCCACGGGGTTTTTACAATAAGACATGCCATAATCAGGAGGCATCATAAAAATATTTCTATAAATCCCGAATTTGGAATGATAGTTTCCAGTTCGGGGTATTTCTTTAATTAACAAAAGCCTCAAATTGCGGGTCTATTTTGGATAGAGGCGGGCGGCTAAATTCAGAAATGAGCACTTAGTTTTACTGCTGTTTTGGGGGTATCTTCCTTGAAAGATTGGACTTCATTTTTGAGATTTTGCCCGATGAAATCGAAAGCATTCAAAACACCCTGGCTCTCAGCTTCTGACCTCTGACCTTGAGTCTTTTCTATTTATATCTGGGGGTGATGCTTACCTGAGATTTTTTTATCAAGAGTCGTCAGGGAATCTTTGGGTTTTAAAACCAGTGTCTTAGACCTTTTCAGCCACGTGACTGGATTGCGCTAAATGTAAACAATACCACCACTTGTGGACTCCTTGACCACGGTGATCGCATTATTCCTACAGGCACCTTCAACCACGACGTGGTGCAAGCGTACGTGCAAACGCTGCATGCTTGACTACTTTATCTTCTTAGTAGATAACCATTACAACATTATGCACTCACTACCATCACAACACATCGCGATCCAGCACGATTGTGACATCACAGGAAAAAGGTCTATAGGTAATCAATAGGCAATATATACAAAGAACTACTGAAGAACTTTTAAAGAATGTTAATGCACATAACAAAATTCGCCAGGAATAGCAGCAGATATTAACGACGGTATCCGCATATTGTCAACGAAATAGATTTTTGCAGCTTTTGGTCCATTTCGGGAATGTTCGAAATTCACCCTAGTTTTTGGGTGTGGTTGGTAACTTTCGGTCTGGAAGCCGAATTAGTAATTTGGTTCCTCAACACTTTGCTTATTTTTACGGCGGGGCAGTTGTAGAATTTGGATCATCTTCACCCCTCCCACTAACCGGCACTGATCTTTAATTTGCCACTGGTGATGAGGACGTAAAGAAAGAAATAGGTATAGTTTAAAATCAAACGTGATCTAAACATTATTCGTGACTATATGAGAAGCCCAAGATTTGAGCGAATTTTCTCATTATATTTTTGTTAACTGTATCTTTATGTTCACACTTCGTCATTAAAATGCTGGGTTTGCTGGTGCACTAAAACTCCGATGAGTGTGGAAACTGTCCTTAAAATGGTACAACCATGCAGCCCCATTAGAGCCAATCAAACAGCAGTTAGTTTCCAGTTCACGACAGCTGCATGTCCCGAACGCGTGATTAACACAAAATTCTGCCCAATAAAAGCGCAGGCAACGGTGCAGAGTAAAAGGAATTGCACCAGCACTGTAAACGCACCAGGATGCTACGATTCGGAGATGTTTTCTTCTTGCTCGGGCTGTATCTGTTCTGGGGAGCAGGTGTCAATGCCCGGGTGGATGCAGACGGGACCTACACGGCGGTTAGTCTGACTCCGGAGGAAAAAGACGTGTTCTTGAATGCTCATAACGAGTTGAGGTCCAATGTGGACCCCGAAGCAGCCAACATGATGTTCATGGTGAGCAGAGGGTAATGCATGTAATGATGGCAATTCATGGTTGTTAGTGCGGGAGAGGGCTCAAACTTGGGATTGCGTTACAAGACTATTGAGGGTGATCACAAAAGTTTATTGAGTGTGCGGCAAAAAAGGAAACATTGCGAGGAACAAACGCTGATTTGTTTTACGTTTTACAGTCGATGCCACAATTTTGAGATTTCTGGGACTCCTCCGGGACATGACAGTTACCGATCGGGACTGCTTTGCGCGGATCCAGTCTTTTCTCGCAAACAGTACTCGTATCAGACAGACCTGTAATCGGGGACCTAACGTGTTAAGTCTCCCTTTTAATGTTACAAAAATGGCCGTCTTCATGCTCCAAGTCTGACCCAGAAAAAGTGTTAGGTCCCACGTGACTCAGATTGACGTATTCGAGTGTAGTCAATCCATAGCAGCCTGCTAAAGAACACAAAAATACTGCTTAGCGACAAGGCCATCACAATGGAAGAAGTTTTTTTCATTAACCCTGGGTTGAGGACTGTCAGGCTGAAGGTTGGATAGTGATTTTTCGGATCATGACACACTACGGCTGAAGTCAGGCTTTAAAAATTAAGTATAAAAAGTTTCCTTTTCAATGGTTTTTCCTTCATCTTTTTTCGTGAGGGAAAGGGTTTTGCTTTTACCTCTTGTGGAATTGTAGTACTTCAAGTCGTGAAATTTTACACATTCTAAACAAGTTAACCATCAGTCCACTATTTGTGCCTATTGTTAAGTCCATATCTTTGATACACGCAACGTTCAGCTTTCCAGGTACTTGCAGCTTTGAAGGCATAGAGCGGTCTCGATCACCGTAAACGTACAAATGTTAAATCAGGAGTGGCTTTGCTTCTTAGTCCGCGCGACGTTTTTCGTTATCGGTTCCCAGCCATGGTGAATTTCATCACTTAACTTTCCACCCCCTCCCCGTCGATCTACTCAACCCTTGCGGCAGAATTGGGACAAATCACTGGCCTTGATGGCCCAGGCCTGGTCGGCCAAGTGCATTTGGGACCACGGCCAGCCCACTCCGAACATCAGCCCCTTCACAAGTCTCGGCCAGAACATGTACCTGATCACCGGCTACGGCAACCGACCCAGCGGTAGAGCCGTGTCCACCTTCTGGTACAACGAGAACCGCCACTACACGTTCGAGACCGACGCCTGCAGCGGCGTAACGTGCGACCATTACACGCAGGTTCGTGTCATTATACGAAATGCATTTAATAGGCTTCTCCCTGAATCTACTTCGAAACAATGATCGAACGCCATGGCAAACTAAAATCGTTTTCACATTATTTTTATTTAGTTTTCATTTCGCGTCGATAGGAGACGATGTCCTATATCATAACCACAATAATAATAAAAAATTAAAACGAAGCGTTTTCTTCGTCTTGGACGGAACTCTTTTCCCTTGGTTTCGCTCTTAGTAATTAAACTCTTTAGAGAAAGTAGAAATAGTGACAATAAAATTTGTGTCGATAAAGATCACAGAAGTGTGTTTCTCTTATACCTCCGAAAGACACACTCCCCATTCTTTCTGAATTGCTTTAGTTTCTCCCGCCAAATTACAGCTTGTTTGGGCTAAAAGCCGCTCCCTGGGATGCGGCATGGCCTTCTGTAAGTCGGTGTCTAATACCAAATGGCGTGACGTCTGGATTGTCACCTGTAACTACGGGCCACGGTAAGTCTGATCGACTCAGTGATTTGGAGGAGATAAGATTTGAAGCTATGCATGGTGAAAATACTAAATCAGGTTAGGCTTGCAATTTTTAGAGTGTAGATAGATGACTGTACACCATTGGTTGTTCTCAGAACCACACACTCATAAAAGAGACATTTTCTTGTACATGGTGCAACCGCAAGCCTAACCTAATTTAATTTGGGGGATTTGGGGATTTTTCTGATGCTTTGAAAACTTATTTTTAAAAGCGAAATTTTTAGCCCCTTTTTCGAGGCGTTTCCATCGTCGACCCTCGGATCCACCATTGATCCGGCATGACCTTAAATATCTTGTTATAGGGCCAGTCATCACGGAGATTCCGCCCCCCCCCATGCTCGGTCCCTCTCGAGTAATTTCGGTCCCGAGCCTCAACAGAGAATTGTCCCTCAAGGTACTGCACACTTCGTGTGGAATACTAAGTACGTAGACAGCAGGGGTGTAGCCGAGGGGGGTGGGGTGGGGGTGGCCCCCACAAAGTCCCAGTGCTACCAGGTGACCCCCCCATAAAAAAGACGGATGAACGGATATTGAACAAACCTAACAAAAGATTGCCCCCAAAATATCACACCACTGAAAACTGGTGCCCCCCATAAGAAGCCGGTGCACCCCTTGTGCTCCCCACTAATAAAATCCAAGCTACGCCACTGGTATAGACAGGGGTCTTTTAAAATGGGATAAAATAAGGTTTTTCAAAAAATAATTGCTCGCATTTGCTTGTTGTTTTGTGTTTCATCTGCGTCATTTGAGACTTTCCCTCCCCGAGATCGTCCAGTGCATTTAGGCTACTCGTGCAGATTGGGACCCGTCAAGACTGGTGAAGTCATAGAATGATGACAAACATTCCGGTCCAACGTGGCCAGTTTTGTCACTGACCACATGCCTAGATTGACGTGGATGATGGACAGATAAAGCGGATAAAGTTTGTTTGTCGCAACTGAGCATCTCAAAAGTCTCCGATCTGCTCCGAGATACTTTGACATGCCAGTGAATGTTTTACATATAGGCCGTTTTTAGAGGTGATTTTTAAAAAGTAAATGGACGAAAAATCTTCGCACATTCCTTTTTTTTTGGGGGGGGGGAGTAGTTTTCTTATCGAAGGATTCAGGAGGCGCTCCTTCAGGGGGGCAGTTTTCGGGCTTAATTTCCTCTTGAAATTGCACTGAACCTTCTCATGATGTATTTTAAAGTGATGTGAATACATTCTTATCCCTGTTCCTATTGTCTGGATGAATAATTGGAATGGGACGTCCCTATTTTCAGCGGGAACACTGCAGGTCACAAGCCGTACAAACCAGGCCCAAAATGTTCCAAGTGCAAGTCGGGTTTCGGGGAGTGCTACAACGGTCTTTGCCGTAAGTTGATAGGAATACAGCATATCTAAGCCTGTATATTGAAGGTGTCAGTAGGAAATCGAATTTTGAAAAAAAATCGGGACAAAAGGGGGACATTGCTCATTGTTACACATATCAAAGTTTGGGTAAAGTAAAAGTTGTTGCTGCCATACATTTATCGTGCGTGAGTTTACTTGCCTATAGATCTTTTCAATAATAAATTCATAATTATGCACGCATGCGCATAAAATGGCCTCGGTGGTTAGGGCCATTGAAAATGTACAGGGGGCAATTTTGATCATTTCCTCTCAGGTTTTCTGGCTTTGATCAATTTTTTCTTCAGGAAGTCCCATTTTATTATTAGTTTCTAATCTAAGCAAGATTTTTCGTGCTCTGTAAAAAGACTTTACAATCGTGATTTTTCTTGTGGGCATGATATGAAGCGGGAAGATTCCCGCTTAGATTAGACACTAATTTTTTTTATAAAAAATCCTCCTCCTAAATTACTCTGGAAGGTCAGATGAAAATCCCTATGCTGTAATATAAAATGCCATGCAATATTCTGTAAAGATTTCTACTTTCAACAGGTGCCCCCGATTCTCACCACTGAGGCCTGCATACCGCTCTAGCATCAGAACGACGGCGTCTGCCCCCCCTATACCAGAGAGGACTCTATAACAGTGTCGAGGGGATTTTCTCTGGGAAGTTCGACCAAAATCTTCAAAGATGGACAATATAATGACTCGGGTATACTTAATCGGGAAATACTTTATGGTATCTGGGTGCTTATGAGTATTTCTTTGTACTTTTTCGCATAAGGAATTCTTAGGACATCTTTGTGTTATTTCGACTTAATAAATTATTTGCACGGTGGTAAAAATGCCTTTGTGGTTTATCTAAGTTTTATTCTTAAAATCACTTAAAGTTTTCTTCTGCGACCTTTAGGTGTACTTGAATAAAACGCGTAATACAATTTTTGTCTCATGTGTTCACGCTAACACGTTGTTAACTGCATAACGAATGTTTTCCATGCTTGCGTTAAATAAATTAAGATAGTATACAAACACATAACTTTGAAAGAATTCATAATCTGAAAAAAATTAAAATATTCGTAAATTATACAAAAGTATATAAAACATTAAAAAATACCTAAAGGGTCCATTGATTCCAACTGTCACCCTTTTAGAGACAAGATGGCGACTACCTAAAAACTTGCACTTGCATACATTATTTTGTGTACAAATTGCATCGGTTATTACATTTTAGACCTCCTAAAGTTATGACTATTTCTTTTTATTCGTCATCATCACATCGGACCAAACAAAAATATACACAATTCTAGACAAGATGACAGGAGCTAAACAAGTGAACCTAATCACTATTGCTAAAAGGCAAACAGCCCCAAACAACAAGTAAAAGACAATAAGGCATTCATCAATAAAAAACCCAATTACATTACATTTAAGAAAAATAAATGAAGAGTAAAACCACAAAATAATCATTAATTGGGCAAATATCTCAAAATGCCTGGTGCAAAGATACAAAATACAGAAAAGAAAAAAAAAGAGACATTATTCTCCTGAATTCGAACTCAGACCTGGCTCTGATTGCGAACTAGAAATCAGACTCGGGCTAGGTCAGCGGCGATGAGGACTCAATTGACTATGACACCCCAATTTTTCTTCAAAGTTGGAGCTGTTTCCCTATCGTCGAAGTTCAGACACGCACCCCATTTAAAACAAAACAACAAATTACTCGCGTATGAATCATATCTGTATCTTGCAGATGTTGTATATTAATATCGCAGCCGATTTGGAGTCAAATATTGCAATTCACTTCAGACACCTTTAGTGAGTGGGCTACAATTAATGGCGATTGTGCAAACCATTGAATTAAACCATTAATCACCATCTCTGCCTTTTTCAGTTTTTGTAACTTTTACTGTTAATACCTATCTTTAATTAAAACAAAATACTACCTCTCCTTATCGAACTTCATGATGCCAACATGGCTTCAGGTGCAGAAGATCAACAGAAACTGAACTTATTACTACCTTGCATGACATAGGCAGATTAATTGACAACAAGCAAACAGTTGATGTAGTAGTACTTGACTTTAGAGAAGGCTTTCGATGAAGTCCCACATAATCTTCTGTTGAATAAATTAAGACACTACGGCATTGTAGGACACTGCATCAGTGGATTAAAAGTTTCCTGTTTGGACGAACACGGAGGGTAGTTCTAGATGGTCATGCTTCAGATCTTGTACCAGTAACATCTGGAGTCCCCTAAGTATCAGTGATTGGCCCTTCGTTATTCTTGGTGTACATAGACGATCTACCAGATAACCTTGCTTCAGGCGTTCGTCGCAATTACGGACGACTGTCTTTGGTATAGCAGGAATAAGGTCCAATTACAGCAAGAAGTGTTACACAATTTCCATAGGCATCAGGGCACCGATCAGAAACATCAATAATTTTTGCAGTGAAACCTTAGTAAGTGTGGTATTCACGTTACTCATAATTTATCATGGAAGAAACATATATCTGAAACCTGCAAGAAAGCTCAGAGAGTATTAAATATTCTGAGGAGGAACTTTTAGAGCTGCACTCCAAACGTCAAAGAAGAAGCGTATTTCACATTGGTTCGACCATTGCTGGAATATTCATCATCTGCGTGGGATCCCCACTTGGTGTCTGACATTCAGTGTCTCGAACGAATCCAAAGATAAGCTGCTACCGTAGCGTGGGCTGGTACCGTGACAAACATACTCCAGGAACTGGGTTGGTCAGCCCGTGAGACACGGCGTAAAACCAACAGGTTATCCATGATGTTCAAGATAATCGATAACATGGTCGATGTTCAGTTTGATGGTATCCTCACTGCAAATGTAAGAATCCCAAAGGGTCATGCAAAAACAAACAAACGAACGAACAAACAAACGAACGAACGAACGGACAAACGAACGAACGAACGAACAAACAAACAAATCCAAATCAATTCCCATATACCAAGGTTTTTGACAATACCTTCTTCCCCAGAACAGTTAGCGATTGGAACAAGGTGCCACAATCTGTGGCCAATGCAACATCAGCGTCAGCATTCAAGGGGGCAGTTGGGCAATATTTTCATTGATTTGTTGTTATAAATTTGCGTCAATCTCCCTACGCGAGGCGTAAACCTAATACAATTGGTGTGATGTCTCCTGTGGATGCTTTGCCGACTGTACCATACAGATAACAGATACGAGCGTAAGTAACTCCGAAGAGGTAGCAAGGCTATCCCTGCTCTTTATGGCTGGGCGGGGAATGGGACACTCTTTCCGCCCATTAAGGCAAGTGTGGCATAAAATACGTTGGTAGTTCAAATTACGTAATTAAACGAAATACCATGGAACCGATCATAATGCCAGAACCATGACTGGGGTGACTTCATTGAGAGGCACCTGGAGACCCACGTAGGACGTTTCAAGCTGAAGTCACTTATTTCGGACGTGGTTTATCACCGGGAGCAGACCTCTCAGACGACATTCACTTTTTTCGTAATGTAAGTAGACGGACAACATCTTTATCATTATACAGAGACCGGACCTCGATCCTGCATACCCAATCAGTCTTTAGCGAGTTAAATTTGAATCAAATCTGGTAAAATGAGCTCTTTAAATTCCGTGAACATAATAATTTGAATTCTCCGTACTAAAGACACTGTTGCAATACCTCGTGATTTGGGGCAAGTTTTTACTTATTAGTTACATAGGATACACCTTGCCTCATACACAGTTTTCATTGGATAGGAAGGGTATAAAGGAACTAGTCCATTCCAGAGATGGTGGTTGCTATGAAGAAAAC